GAAAATTTTCTGAAATTTGCAGAGTTTCAAAGTCAAATTTCTTGTTTGTTTGTTTATTTAAGACATTTTCACTTAGAGAAATTGGAATATTACAGGTTATGAAATATTAAAAGTTTAGTTATATGGAAAAATGGAAATAATTAATTTTATGTGTACATTTCATATGTCCCAGTGGGCACGGGACGTACACTAGACGTCCTTTAGACGTTCAATTAGCGTCCGTCCGTCCCATTTAAATTTCAGACGCCTTTTGAACGTCTTTTTCGCGTCCAATCAATTTTTCGTCTAAAAAAGATCCAGAATACTTTATTAAATCAAAATTAATTTACTTAAATCACGCAATCTTCAAGGCATATTTATTTTTGTTAATTAAAAACGCATTTTTAATACAAATGTAGAAGAAACTATCAAGTGTTAAAGAACTTTCAAATGTAAAGTTAAATTTTTTTATGGCATCTCGAAATAATGAATGAAAAGTGACTAATATATATATATATATATATATATATATATATATATATATATATATATATATATATATATATATATATATATATATATATATATATATATATAGTAATATTATATGGTAATTACTAAAAAAGAGGAGATTATAACAGTGGCGGGTTTTAGGAAGGGGGGGACATGGGTAGTAGCCAAATATTCAAAAAATTCTTTTGTAAATTGACTATTATACAGAATTGGACTACTATACTGACAAATGAAATTGACTATTATACGTAATTATACGTATATAAACTTGATTATTACACTAAAGTACAAAAAATGAAAAAAAAAATGAAAAATGAAAATATGCAGACTTTTTTTGTTGTTGACCTTTTTAGCTCCCTTTTTGGCAAGTGACATGATTCGCCCCTGATTTTACAATACTTGTTAAATGAAGGAGAATTCTTATTATTTAACGAGGCATTACCAAAGTAGACCCCTTTTATGAGAAATAAATAAATAACAAACCTTTTTTTGTAAATGTCATTTGCTTTTTTAACACAAATTACTGGTTTTGCAATTAAAATTAACTTAATTTTAATTGCAAAATGTTCACATTAAATTTTATTGCTGTCTTACAATTATTGATTCTTCATAAATTAAGTCTTATTAGTTATTCTATATTAAAATATACTATACTATATAAATGCAAGCCAATAATTATTCCTCCATTATTTAACTTGTCTCTATTGTCATTTTGTAACCATTGTTCACTTTTATCTAACTAATCACTTGAATCAGTTATCAATTTCACAGTTTTCGACCAATCATTTTGTTGGAACAGAGCAAGAACTATAGACGGGGGAAGATGAATCATACCAACTATACTTTTTTGTTGAACTTATCTTTTACAATAAGTTTTTTTAATAAAAACTTATTGAACTTATAAGTTTGAAAATTGGTCATGCCTCAATGATTTATTAACATTAAAAAGGGGCTTTTTTGTTTACAATTAGGCCTTTAACTTGATCCCAAATAGGGATACTGTCAAGTTTCATCTAACTTAAAGCTTTTAACTCTTGTTATTGAGACTAATAACAGGTCAAAGGTTACATAACTTACATAATCTTGGCTTAAATATGATTGTAAGATGAATTAGATAAATAAAATTAACATAAAATAATTTGTTTATCTTTGGTAGAAACATAAATGAATCATCCAGCTGGGAAAATTTTGAATTTAGCTTATTTCACACTCATTCCTCTCTTTCTAAAACTAGAAAACATTTTTTTAGACAAAATTATTTAGAGTGCAACGATTGTTTTACTTTACAAAGTTTAAGTTAAAGAAACTATTTCTTGTGTAGCAGCAACCAAAATACTTTATTATCTTAACGTAATTTATCGATCGCGACTTTCGTTTTCGCAAGTTTAGATGCGCGCGCATTTTTCAATATTGTGTAATCAAGAGAAGAGAACACGTGCTGTTTGAGCATTTTTTTAAGAAATTTTTAGTGACTAAAAACATTTTACATTTAATAGTTTTTACATTTTCAGTTCTATACATTTAAGTATTAAAATTTAAGTATTAAATATCGATTTTTTATAAAAATTAAATAAAAACCTCCAAAAAGAGGAGATTTCATGTTTTTTTCGGAAATCCCCTGGAGCCATTTTTTTTGCCTTAAAAATCGGAGATATGGCAAACCTATATATATATATATATATATATATATATATATATATATATACATATATATATATATATATATATATATATATATATATATATATATATATATATATATATATATATATATATATATATATATATATGTATATATATATATGTATATATATATATATATATATATATATATATATATATATATATATATATATATATATATATATATATATATATATATATATATATATATATATATATATACAAGAACTTTCAAATGTAAAATGACTTTTTTTTTATGGCATCTCGAAATGAAGAGTGACTAATAGAAAGGTTTTTGCTAATTTATGTATATATATATATATTTTTTGCAGCAGCAGCAGCAGCAGTATAGTAACCTGACCACCAATGTCATCTGGAAAAAGTTGTTCTGTTCTACAAAGTTTGTAGAACAGAACAACTTTTTTTCCAGATGAAATATATATATAACTAATTACTTAAGAGTCGTGTTAATATTTATACAGAAATTGATATTGAAAGAAAAAGTTTAAAACTGAGTATATGATATACTATATGTATTAAGTATATACCTGGTTCTTGATATAATATATCAAGTATAATACTTGATATACTATATCAAGAACTATGTTCTGATTATTTGAAAGTTTTAGACATCGCAGAATTTCATGCAGAATCATTTTTTTCAAAAGGAAAACTTATTAATGATACAGAGAAATTATCCTGATAATTTACTAGAATTCAATATCTTTAATTGACAACTTTTAGATTGTGCTATTTAAAAAAATCGGACCAGTATATTAATTAATGAATTTCTTGAAATATTAAAAATCCAAGGTTTGAAACTTCGCGAAGGTGCAAGAAAATTTATTGATAACACCTAGAGGTATAACTAAGTTATACCTAGAGGTGTTTTTAAAACTTTGACTGCATTTTCCAGATTAACAGTTATTCACTGTTCCTAAAAAGTGTGGTAATAATTACTCTTATTTTGAAATACAGGCAAGTATTAAAATCATATTTTTTTTAAATTTTATAATGGTTTACCTTTATTTAAATTCTCTAGTAAACAGCTATGGCCAATATTAGCTGGCTTTGATTATTTTAATATTTTTATATTTGACATTTAATGTAGTGAAACCAAGCATAATTCACTAAATACCTTTTTTTTTTTTTTTTTTTTTTGCCTTTAATTTCAAGTCAAGTCAGTAATGCAAAATGATTTTCTATGCAATAAAAAATATAAATTAAAACTATATAAAATCTTATAATGGTTACAACTTTTGTGAAAAGTGTTCTGTTCATGAAACTTATGGAGGAATAATTGTGTTTAATAAATAAATTTTTACACACCTATCTCTTATATAAATCAACTGTTATGACTGGTTTAGTTTTTTAAATTAAACTTATTTGAATCTTTTCCACACAAAACAATCACACAAAAGAATAGGGCATTAGTTGAACCAGACATTCCAAAGTCTGTTTTAAATAATCCTTTGAAGATAGATACAATTAATTTCGCTCTTTTATTTTTCGTTCTTTAAAAATTCAAAATGAATAGTTATAATTAAAATCAATATTTATTATTTGATAAAATTTATTTTTTAGTAATTTATCCAACTTTAAATTAGAATGAGAAAAATGTATTTAAAGATGGAAAAGAGATGATATTTTTTTCTATATGAATGAATTTTTGATTATTTATGGTTTTTAGTTTTAACATTTAGTCAAAAATATATATAACACAGCAAACATTTAAAGAGGAATTTCATCGGGCCTAAATAGACTTTGTAGGCGGTTGCAGTTTTGGTCATTATATACTTAATGGACCATTAGTGGAAGTAGCCAAAAGTGGATAACAGGAGTAACCACTAAATCACTTGTTGGAATGTTATCGGCTGGCCACTTTAGTAATTTACTAAGTAAAGGATGAGTTAAACTCCATTTAACTGCTCAGAATGTCTTTATAGGTCCACTGAAAATCCACTATAACAATGTTTGCTGATAAAGTTTCCATATGTAGTCATTTGATTATTGTCGTATATATTCAGAGTTCCCAATCCTCCTTAAAAACCTTAAATATCCTCGGAAAAAAAAACATCCTTAAAAGTCTTTAAATAATCTTTAAAAAATTAAAATTTGACTGTTCTCCTTAATTTACTTTTCTATAAATTTTTGTTTTATTAATTAAAAATTTATTTATAAACATATATAATATATATGTATTGGTCACAAAAACTTCTATTATGTATGTAACTCTTTATTTTTTGAGTTAAATTTTATACAATATTTCAAGGGAGTTGTCAAGTATATAGTTTATATAAGTATATATATATATATATATATATATATATATATATATATATATATATATATATATATATATATATATATATATATATATATATATATATATATATATAGTATATATATGTATGGTATATATATGTATGGTATAGTATAAATAGTTTATTTTATGTAATATGCTTAATAAATTTTTATAATAGCATATTTTTATTTTTTAATCAACTAATATATATGTGTGATTTTACCTCTTGTATCTTGAGTGTGATTAATCGCTTTTTCATAAAAATGTTGCAAAAAAAGTGGTATATTTTTTATTATGGTTTATTGTTTATTTTTCTTTATAAGGGTAAATTATTATCATAAATTACATAACAAATTTTGATTTGTAAATAAACATACACAATATTAAAATATATATATATATATATATATATATATTATAATATATATATATATATATATATATATATATATATATATATATATATATATATATATATATATATATATATATATATATATATATATGAAACTATCCATAACGTCAGTATCAATAATAAAACTCACAATTCATAATTAAAATACAAAAAAAAAGCAAATCATTTGGGTTATAAGATTTTGTAAATAAACGTAAAAATACTAAATAAATCTCAATCAAATTAGTTCCTAATCAGGGGTGGTCCATAAATTACGTCACACTGTAGGGGGAGGGGGGTTGGTGGTTTTTGTGACGACTCAAACAAAACTTGCTTCTCATGTGTTACGATTTTGTGACGAGGGGGACGAGGGAGGTCAAAAACTGTCAAATGTGACGTATTTCATGGACGAACCCTCAGTAAAATATTAAACTCAAACAAGATAACGGTCATCAATTTATATCAACATTAATGTTTAAATAGTTATGAGTTAATGATATTAATATCAAGATAAACACTTAAAAAGTTAATATTTTACTTAAAAGAAAAAAAAACAATAGTTGATTTTTGCACAAATTTTATTATTAAGGGTAAATAACTTTTTTATATTAATGAAGGAAAAAATGTGTATTATTCAAAAATAATTAAGTTTAATAAAACACAAGAATATACTTAATTCTAACGCTGGTTTAGTGATCTTAAAAATGTGACGCAAAATGTACATATTTGGTTTGTTCCGGATGAACAAGAAGCATATACTAATTCTTTGTTGCACCCAGGGTTTAACTCTTTATAGTCCGACTGCTTTAACAAAGAGCTTAAATGATTTATGTAGCTTGTTGCTAACCGTAACGTTTCTATTTTAGAAAGTTTTCTGCTCGGTGGATCAGTGGGAATTAATGTACGAAGGTGAGTAAAAGCGTCGTTTACGCTATGAGAACGAGAGCGCTCTTTGATGTTGACTTGACGTAAGTAAAGTAATGTAGAATTTTCGGCGCTGGAGTCTATATTACACTGTTGAAAGTTGTATATTGTCTGGTGAAAACCACTTGAGGGACAGTTTGTTTTGTTTTTAAAGTGAATATTTTCATCATTAAACGAAAGATGTCTTTTACGGTTTGCAGTGTTTCGGAATAGATTTAGTCCTTCATTTAATTGATTTGGTTGGTCTACTTTTTGATACTCAGATAGTTCATCAAAATTGCATTTTTGAGATGGTTCAATGTTATATGACATTTCAAGAGCATTAACTGTTTTGAAATCTTTTGAAGAATTCCTTAAAGATTGGAGCAATTTAAACTTACGAAATCAAACTACTAAATTATATTACATTATAAAAGGTAAATAGATCAAAATTCTGTCTGGCATTTATAATCGTCTTAAAATAATTTTTTTTCAATTAAGTTTTTTGTCTTTTGTAATACTCGCGTATTGTAGTTTCATTCAAAAGTAATTTTAATCTACTCAAAAGCGTTTTACAGAAATTTTTCTAACGCGAATTTATAGAATTTTTACGAATTTATAGAAATTTTTCTAACACGAACATTGGCTTATTTTTTTACCGCGCAAAATACGTGGGATTTTTAACAGATGTTTGTTTTTTTTTTATTAGAAAATAATAAATAAAAATTATTTTAAAAACTAAAACATTAATCGAACATTTGGAGCATTAATTTGGAACACGTTAGAACCAGGGGCTGATAAAGACAATCTAGTTTAAGGACGGCGATTTTTAGGTTATTTTGGTTTGGTGGATCCAGATCATTTAGGAAAAAAGGAAGGGACGATATTTTTATTTGTTGTATCCATTAAGTAAATTAGGGAGAGGAGAGAGACACATTTTTTTTTTAATTATTATGTTCTTTATTCTTTACAAATTCGTAATATATAGTAGAATCGTTTACAGAGTATAGTTAAAATAAAAATAAAAATAAATAATTTTTACATAACAAATAATTTTGGTTCAAAAAAGGTCATTCAACTGATTACGCTATTCTTAAACTTGTTCATGATATTTTTGAAGCCTATGATAAAAAAGAGTATACATTAGGCATTTTTATAGATCTTAAAAAAGCCTTTGACACTGACGGCTACCATATTTTATTAAAAAAACTAGTAAATTACGGAGTTAAGAATGCAAATATAGTTTTGATTAAAAAATATTTGTCTAATAGGAAGTAGTATGTTTCTTATGATGGTGGTAAAACTTAAAATAAGATAACCACTTAATTTTCTTAAATATTGGCATACTTTATAAGGCAAACCCTTACCTAAATTAATTTTGTTTAAAATATATCTACTTTTCTTTTATGCATTGTTATCTCAATTATGCTAACATTGCTTGGGGCAACGCCAATAAAAAAAACTTTTCAACAAACAAAAACATGCCATGAGAATATTATCCAACCATCTTTCTCATTCACAACCACTATTTATTAATCCTAAAATTTTAAATGTTTACCAAATAAATATATATCATCATTTAATTTTTATGTATAAAATCAATAACAATACAATGCCAAATATAAAACGCTATTTAAAAAAATACAGTACAAATATCTTACTAGACATGCAAACAATAATTATATTCAAGTTAAAACTCACTTTAAAGCCACTTAGTTTTCTATCACAGCTAGAGGCCCCCAACTATGGAGTATATTAATTAGAAATGACATAAAAACGCTTGCCAACATAAATATTTTTAAATTAAAATTAAAATAAAAAATTTTAATTAATCAAAACATGAAGGATTCTTTCTAGAGCTACATTTAATTGTTGGTCTTTAAAATACTGTGTAGTATATTTTTAATTTATTTGCAAAGGTTTAAAAAATTTGGTTCTTTAGAAACTTCTTATCTTTATTTTTTATTTTTTTACTATATAAAACTATAAACGTTTTCTTAAAGTTTTAAATTCTTTTCATAATATTTCCTAATCAGGAATTTTTAATCGCAATAATTAAAAACTGTTATATGTAGTTTTAAATATTTTTTTTCGTTTTTTTATTTTTGCTTTGTGTTCATTTATTATTAAAAATAAATTTTAGAATTCATTATCTTTATTTTTTTATTTTTTTTTTTTTTTAATTTTTTATATTTGACAACATTTTAAATGACAAGATTTGATGGCTATATTATTGGGGATTGGCGATAAGACTATTTTGTCTTCTTCTTGCCCCCGCCATGTGTTTATTTTACAAATACGAGAGTTGTAATTATTTAAACGGTAAATTTATAATAATATATATATAAAAAAAGAAGTTTACCGTTTTTCTGGTATTATGGTATCTATTTTTGCTATTTTGGAACAAGTCTAAGTTTATATTTAAGCATAAACAACAAATTTTGAAATATATTGATATACATTTAATGGTTTCAAATTTTTAAAAAGTAGCTCATCATGCGTGAGTCAATCTTTTTTAAAAACTATTTTTGCATTATGTTTTTGTTTTCGATATTATGTGGTTAGTTTTGATTTATGAGTACTCTTCCATGCAACATTAATGTAAATGTAGTAGCTTTGTATGAATGAGAAGCATAGGAACTTCAAATAATCAGGAAACAATATAGAACTAGCTTTCTAAAGAATACCAATGTTTTTTGATATTTTGGTATTTAATATATCTATATGTGACTTCCATGAGATTTTCTCATCAATAAGTATCCCTAGAAATTTAGTTGTTTGGATTCTCTCTATTTCTTTAGTATCTTTTTAGCGACGGTAAATCGGGAGGTATTTTTATAAAGTTAAAATGAAAAAATAAAAATGTTTTTTTCTGTGTTTAGCGATAATTCGTTAGATTTTAACCAACTGTTTATTTTTTCAAGTTCAGTATTTTTAGTTTCATAAAGGTCTGTAATAGATGTGGATGCATAATGTCTGCAAACATTATGATATCCAATTTACTTGAGGCTTTAGGAAGATCATTAATGATATTAAAAACAAGAGAGGTGCAAGAATGAAACCTTGGGGAAACCGCATTTTATTTTGAATAGTTTTGAAATTTTTTTTCATGAGCAATAACGCATTGTTTTTTGTCTAGTAAAAAATTATTGAACCAGTTTAGAGCAACACCTTTTACCCTATATTTTTCCATTTTTCTTATTAAGATAGCGTGATTTGCTGTGTCAAACTCCTTAGATAAATCAACGCCTTAGAAAAAAGTCTCCAAGGACGTATTCTTTGTTTTTAAATGAGTCATTTATATTTATAAAATCAAGAATCGCGCGTTTGGTTGAATATTGCTTTTATAATCCAAACTGTTTTTCATTTAGGATTTTGTTATTTTTTAGATATTTATACAATTTATTGTAGATTACTCTCTCCAAAAGTTTTGAAAACACAGGAAGAACTGAAACTGTTCTGAAGTTATTTAGTTTAAATGAATCCCCGGTTTTTAATATTGGTATAATACCTCAGCTATTGGTATTACCTCAGCTATTTTTAATTTATTTTGTACAGATCCTGTAATAATTGAAAATTTAAATATTTTATAGATTGGTTGTTTTATCAGTCGAAACATATTTACAACTGTATAGTTATAAATGCCGTCTATCCCAGGAGCCTTGTTCGTCTAAAGCGAAGTTTTTGCAATTTCTAGTTCTTCATGGTTTAGTCCAGAGAAAAAACTTAAACAGAAATGTTGGTTTGTGATATAGATTTTAAAGGAGATATTAGGGCATTTAATTTTGAAACTATTGAAGATTTCAGCGATAGAAATTTTGTCGATATAGTTATTTTCGTTAACGATAATTTTATCGGGTATTGATTTTGTATGGTTTTTACCTATTATTTCTTTCAATATGTTCCAGGTTTTTTTAACATCGCTTTTGCTTTTATGTATTTTGCTTTTATGTATATATATATATATATATATATATATATATATATATATATATATATATATATATATATATATATATATATATATATATATATATATATATATATATATATATATATTAAAATCTTTCTAATTTTTTCAAATAGATTTTTGTATTTTTTGTATGTGGTTAAGTTAGTTTCGTTTCTGTTTTTTAGAAAATTGATATAGAGTTTTTTAGTTATCCATAGGCAGTTTACATATTCTAGCTTTATTTCTCTCTCTTCAACAGGAAAATTTTTATTGCAGTGATCTAGAAATATATTTATCGCCTATGATGGCATACAAAACTTTGAAGCTTCATTATTCAGTATTCTGGAGACTAAGAACAAAAGTTTTGATATAGATACATTCTTTCCTAGTGAGCACCGTACCAAAAAAAGACGTCTTTTGAACGTTCAAAAGACGTCCAAAACGTTCAAAAGTCGTTCAAAAGACGTCCAAAACGTGTATAAGACCTTTAATGGATGTCTTTTTTACTGGGTTGTTGTATGTAGAACAATAATAACTCTATGAATTTTCATCAATTTTATTTTTTTATTAGTTATTTTTATTTAAAAAAAAAGCACAAGTATGCCATCATAGGCAACTATTGTTCCTGTGATGGCGTAGGGAAGAATGGGGATGGTTAGCATTAACGGTAACTTGACAATTTCATTTTACCTAGCTATTATTAGAAAGTGTTTTAGTTTATCAAAATTTTTATTTATACTTAGGGGTCATCCATAAAGGACATTACCATTTTTTAGCCAATTTTTGACCCCCTCCCCCTTTGTCACCGGTTGTCTTTTTTCCCTATACCCCCCTGGAAAAGGACGTCATAAAAACCTGGCCATCCTCCCTATTTTTAACTTTAAAAAAATTTATTTCATCTTGCAATGATGATTGAATCTGCTGCTACACCTTTGAAAAATAAAATTAAAAATATTCTCATACATTATCTTCTCAAAAACACATGCTTACGTAGTTTTCCATGTTAATTAAGCTAAAAAAAAAAATCTATAAAGTGACGTCCTTTTCTACCTCCCCCTCCCCTTGCCTTTTTTGTCCTTTTTAACTCGGCCCCCTCCCTCCCTCCCCTATTTGGATGACGTCCTTTATGGATGGCGCCTTATTATATTTATGTGTATTGCAGTAAAATTATTTTTTAAAAGTTTCAAGTTCAATTGAAGCGCTTAGTGCTAAAAGTAAATAAGTCACAAAAAAAATGTTTTGAGAAAGCCATTTTAAATCCTTACTTTAAAGTGTTAAAATCTCTGATTAAAGTAGATTTTCTTAAAACTTTTTTTTTGTGACTTAAGTACTTTTAGCACTAAGCTCTTCAATTTTAAAAGTTTCTGCTTCAAAATATTTCGAATCAAAATTATTTCTGCGAAAAAATTGCGCTTCAGAGTCGTAAAAATAGTTTAGTAAAATATTATTAGCAGTTTCGAACACCTTGAAATGCAGCGTTACAAAATCTTTCGTTTCGTTTTTGTTTTCGTCAGTCATTGTGTAAAATGCGATAAATTAATAATTTCCAGGTTTAATTCATAACATTTTTTAAGTTAATCATTTTAAAACATTAGTCTTACAATGTCTTAATTTATTGATATCTATTAATATCCAAACAGTCCGAATTTTTTTTTTT